TGGTTACAGAATAGCCACTAAACTGGTTTTTCTACTTCTGTGTTTTCCCACTTACAGTCTCTTCTCAACAAAGCAGTCAAACAGATCCTTTTAAAACGGTTCAAATCCTCTAGTGGCTTCCCATTTCTTCTAGAGTAATATTCTTACAATGGCCCACAAAGTCCAACAATTTAAACTTGAGGGAAAAATATATTGTCCTCATTGTCCACAAAAGTATTCCAAGTACCTAAAAGTACCTGGTAACATACTAGGGGCTTGATATACATCTTTGGATTAAATGAGTGAATCTTTTTTACTGACTCATTGTTTATTTTTTCTGTTAGAATGGAAGATACATGAGGGTAGGGGCCTTACTGGTTTTGTTTAATGTTATAACCAAAGTACTCTGAACCAAACCTGGTATACAGTAAGTGCTTGACAAGCTCTTGTTCAAGAAATAAATGAATATTTAGTATGAAAAGATTACTGAATGTGTTTACACTATATTGAGTTAATGTATATATTATGCATACTAGTATAGATTCCATTCATTACTCATAGGCAACTATCTACAGTGAATGAAGATTGTTATATAGTAAAGTAAGGAATAAATGGTTTATATTAACAGGACTTTAAGGGAAGCAGTATGTAGGGTTATGGTTGCCCCAAAGTTATAATCATGTAGTGAACTGCAACATATTCAGTATCACTGTTCAACATATCACTGTTCTTTCTGCAGTCTGCTCTGCCCATGCAAACTTTTCTGCTTTAACTTCCTAAGAAAAAAGAAAGCTACTGCTTTGCTTGCTATTTACAAAACTGTTGTTTCTTTTTTTTTTTTTTTGTCTTGGTTTACAAAAATTTTAAAAAAGTAACTTCCCGGTATAAGAGCATTTTGTATTCTTGAAGGAGAGATTCGTGCTGCCAATCACTTACATAATCTATTTAGTTTTCCTTTGTACTGAAGGGCATTCTTATCTATATGTTCCTGTGTGCAAATGTAGGGGACCCAAAACTATTCTCTGTGGTTCTTTGGATTGTTAATCCCTCCAGGGTTTGCTCACCATTCTCAAAGGCAGTTTCTGGCACCAAAGGGACAATGGAGAAGTTGAGATGCAATTTTATCTCCCAATTGAACTTGATTAAATGGGGACTGTTCTAATCAAAAGTTTGAATCCTAGGGGAGTGCAATGTTGTTAACGGGTTTGAGAATATTGAGAAGAACAGGGAAGAAGAGTACTGAAGTTAAGGCAGAGAAGAAACCAGGCAAGGAAATAATTGTAGTAAAGCTTATTAAGGCATAAAATTAGGTGAACAAATTGCTTCACAAATAGTGTTAGGCTCATTGCTAGACTGGCAAAGGAAGTGGAGAAAGCTCTTTGAAAACATCATTTTTATTATTTTAATAATTTGTGTAGGAATCGTAGTAGCTGCAATCTGTTAGCCAGAGACAATTGCCAGCTGGTGTCATCATGGAGTAACTATAGTAGGCTGAATGCAAACATGTTTTTCCATTTTACCTGGAGAGCATTCAATTACAGAAAGTTTCTATTTATTTTCACCTGAATGTGAGGTCTGCCCTTGCAGATAAGAAAGCCTGTTTATTGCATGATTTAAGAGCTTTGATTAGTTTCCCACCAAGTTCCACAACTTGATAGGGAGACCACACCTGGTACAGATAGTATTTACACAACCAAAGTTACCTATCATTAAAAATGAATACTTGGGTCCATGCCTGAATTATCTGTGTAATTGCTTGATTTTATGCATTGCTTTCCTTGTGGTTACCTCAAAGAAACGGTGGCGCTTCGTTAAGTATTTTACTGAAAGCAAAAACAGATCTTCTGGGATAACGTTCTTTGGAAAGGGTTAAAGGTGCATTTATTTATGGAAACATACATTTTATTAGCAACATGGTTGTTACATTTGTTTGTTATAAAGTTTTCTTCTGAAATTATCCAAAATAATTTATTTTAACAATGATGTAATCATGTTAAATTGTAATTGTCTTTCCCCTGTTTATTTGGAAACTCACAGAGTAGGCGCCACAATATCGCAGGATGTAGAGATTGTTCAGCTTTGCCTATAAATCTAGAAGGAGAGGCAAAAGAATTCTTTTTGTTCTGTTCCAATTCCATTGTCTCTTCTTGCCTCTTGACTCAAAGGGTCTCAAGAGGGGAGAGAGGAAATCATGGGCTCTGTTGTTGATGTTCATTGGATTTCTTCAATGGCAATTTGAATGTATTTCAGGGATGTTTGTGGCTTCTAATCCTGGCTCTGCTTTCACTTAACCCTCTTTGGTTTAGTTTCCTCATCTCTGAAATGAGATATTATACTCCTCTTATTTCCTTAGAGTGTTGCTCTAAGAAGTAAATGAGATAATGGCTAGGAAAGTGCTTTCCACTATACAAACTGCCCTCTGCACTCAGGTTATACATTTGGATAGCTAACAAAGTTATATTTATCCATGTGATATGAAGTGATTTTCTAGAAAATGAGAAACTTCTCAAATAAAGTAATATAAAAGTATAAAATTTTACTTTGCTAAAGCAAACTTACGTATTATAAAATAAGTAACACCATTAACTAGATGCATTCACGATTGGATTTTTTTCAAGTTCTTGTGTTTTTGTTTTTGTTTTTTTTTTTCTCAATTTCTTGCTTTGGAGAGTAGTGTGATGCCATTAATAGGATTTTAAACTTCAGGTGAAAGGAAAAGAAATAGAATCAAGTAAGCTTTAAAGATGCTGATTCATCTTACCTAACACCTTTCTTACTAATATAAGCTTATACAGTATCAAGAAGGATGCCGTTGGTGGTTGTTTATAGAGTTGAAAAGAGGAAAGGAAGCAGAAGAGGAAAGCTTTGTTGAGAAGACTCCAACCACCTTGAACAATAAAAATAACTTTCTATGGGCAAGTGCTAGCATCTTTGAAAAAGATCTGATCTTAACTGATGGCTGTGAAGGGGACAGTCTGACAAATGCAAGAAATCAACACAGTGTCTGGGGAAGAGACAGGTACCTCATAGATCCATAAGGAGGCCAGGTGTGAAAGTTGGCTGATATGAAGGCATGGAATGGCAGGTGTGGTGGACTGGGACTCGCAGCGAAGCAAAGAGGGACACGATGGCTTAGGCCAGGGAACCAAACTGCATTGCCTCCACCTTCAACACACTCCACTCTTCTGGAACTCCAGGGATTTATTCCAATTTGATGGTACATCCATTCATTACCTGAAAACCAGAAATTGCGATTAAATAAAGACTTGGATCTGAGGTAAATGCAAACTTTAGACGTTTGTAAAATAAAGTTTAAAAAAACCTCTGCACATAAACAGAGCTTATTTAGTTTAAGAAATACAGTTAAATGTAGGTCTTATCCACATCGGGCACATTTAGGAGCTCAGTGTGTATTAGTAGGATGAATTTTAGGAGGTGACCCCTAAAGTCCTCTTATGCTCTAAGTACTGCATGGTTGTGGACTGTATGGTGCTAGAAGAAATGAAGTGTGGATTGAACACAGAGCCTGAAACAGTAGATGCCTTAATGGATAATGGCAGCTCACCATGAATGGATGCTGGTTGAATTAAGTTGTAGAGTTGGACACATCAAATTTGTAGTTACACAAGGACTGGAGTAAAACTCGAACACCAGTTAGGATGTCTTGCGACGAAATTAAAAGCAATCTAGAGCCAATTTTCCCTGCTGATCAGAGATCAGGCAACTCGTTTGGAGTCCTGTTTAGGTGAATCGGCCCAGCGGTGGGCAGGTGTTATCCTTGTAAACAGGCCGGCCAGATTTCTGTCCAATTATAGACTGAGAAAGCTGCCGATTTAGAGGTCTCAGATCAGCGCCAGCTAAGGCTCTCCTCCTGGACTCTCTCTGCTCCGCCTTTGCCTTTCTCTCAAATCTCTCTAGCTCGAGGCAGAAGGGATTCCCATCACCAGCTGCCTTCTCGAGTCCCACGAAGCGGCGGACTCCTCCCCTGGAAACTCCTCCGGGGCTGGGGAAGGCTTTGGCGCATGCTCCGTACCTAGGGCAGGTTTTTGCTGCGGGTAGCAGGGCTCCTGTCACACCGGCTGGCGGGTTGTGGCGGTGCCAGCCAGAGTGTGCGAGTGTGTCTGCGTGCCCGCGCCTGGGCGGACCAGCCCGGAGCAGCAGTGTGACTCACTCGGACAGGCGGCTCCGCACAGTCGCCTAGCCCGCAGCCGCTGCGGGGGGTCCGCTGAAAACTTGCGGCGAAAAGCGTCCGCCCTCGCGGTTCTCGAGCCCCGCGACCTGAGCGGGTTGTGGCGGTGCCAGCCAGAGTGTGCGAGTGTGTCTGCGTGCCCGCGCCTGGGCGGACCAGCCCGGAGCAGCAGTGTGACTCACTCGGACAGGCGGCTCCGCACAGTCGCCTAGCCCGCAGCCGCTGCGGGGGGTCCGCTGAAAACTTGCGGCGAAAAGCGTCCGCCCTCGCGGTTCTCGAGCCCCGCGACCTGAGAG